ACACTAACTACTACAACCACACACCGACACAGACCTGGACAACTAGAACAAACACAACAATGCACGTGCACACATGAACACACATGCAGGACCACAGGCACATGCACAAACATGAAGAATTACAAGTCATTGTGTGCACATGTGGGTACACACCCATGGACACACACACACACATACACACATATAAACACACACACACACATACACACTTGCACAAGATCACAGGTGAACCTACAAGATAACACAGGTTGTACAATGAAAAGGTCGTTTCTGATGAACAGATGTGAGTGCAAACACGAACACACGTGGACACAAGGACATACAAGTACGAACGATGAACAGATTGTCTTACAGACATACACACAGACATGTAAGAACATACAAACTGAGAATTCAGTTGAGACAACCAGACTCTAGAGTAACACTATTTCTTACCCAGCTGTCCTGTGCGTTCAGGCAAGCGCCGCGTTCGATGAGCAGTTTTGCTAAACGTGCATTGCCTTTCCCTGCACAATGGTGTAAGAGAGTCAAGTTGCCCTGAACACACACACAGCCAGACAGACAGACACACACACACACACACACACACACAGACACACACACACAGAGACACATACACACACACACAAACACACACAAACACACACACACGCACACACGTGTACACACACACACAAACACACAGATGAACATGCAACACATATACACAGGCCAAACACACCAACAAGGAAACAGACGTACACACAGAGACACCAGCAAAGACGTACACATGGCAGTGAACCAGCACAGTATACTGAACACAGACAATGTCTCTTGTCACAATCCAAAACACAACAACTTACGTGGGTATAATCTTCTTTTTCATTGACATCAACTGTCTTGAAGTGAAGAATATAGTCGACAAGACCGTGCATCATTTCATCACCCAAATGTTCACCACACCAGCAGAGAACAAGTATCATCGTGACCTATGTGATATACAAAACAGAAGAAACAATTTGACAATTACAACAATGACAGCAACAATACTCTCAGTACAATGCCATTAGAAGTTAGGAAACCTACTGATTGACCTCAGAGGTCAAAACCAGTCAAATTGTCATAACTTTATTCCAACTTGAGAGAAGATTGCAGCAATTGCACATCTTGTAATGTTATGTCACAGAAACAGTTTCCACTGGTCATCAATCACTTGACAATGGTACAGACAAGAAGACGGCTTGTCACCACTTGAACATGCATATACACATACGGGGACGTGATCACACACACACACGTACACACGGGCACGTGCACGTGCACACACACACACACACAGGTGCCTGCACCTACACAGACAGACAGACACACACACACGCACAAACACACGTGGACGCACACACACACACACGGGCACGCGCACCTGCAAGAGCACACACATAAACACACATTACATCAACACTCTACTTACTCCTAGTGTGTAGGAGCATGTGAATACATGACCAGGTAGTGACCATCTAACTTTCTCTGCTCCAGTACTGTGCAGGGCATGAAGGACGTTGAACACCAACGCCCATATCTCATACATCGCTCGCCCTTTCTCAGAAACTGCATCAGCAAATTTCTTCACAGTTTCTTCAAGATCTGTATCGTACAAACAGACACAGCATACGAATGATATTTTCACCTCTTCACTTTCGTTGGCACATGCACAGACACACGGTATGACGTCAAAGTGATCACCCTTATTTGGACAGTGGAAAGTAATGACATTTGTCGCCACAGAGTACAGCGTGGTACAGGTATCCTAGCAACCATCATTCACAAACAAACGTTACAATAACCGTACATACAGCTATATATGGTTGTCAGTGACTGTAGCTGAAAGAGGTGAAGACGGTCAATGAACGACATCACGGGGGGGGGGGGGGAGGGGGGTTGTCCTCACAACACACTGCAACACATGCAATTTACGTTCCTCAACAAAATTACAGAAACGACCGACAAATGTTACACCTCATTGCTACCACTGCCTACGACAACTCTCGACGAAAGAAAACTACTCTACACCTCAACAAACAACTAATTTAGGTCACTGAATGGCCGTCACGTTGTGACACGAGACTAGGACAGAGACGAAGGTTCACGACAAACGACATTCATGCTAACAAAAGCATAAGAGATTAACGACGGCAAAGCGTAGGTGTTGAGTAGAAAGCTGTTTTTACTCACAGTCTAGGATGGTCCCCTTCCGTCTCGCTTCCATTGATCACAATAAACACTACGAACTACTCCCACTCGACTAACTGAATTGCTGGAAATATTTCAATTGAAACTTTACACGACGAGGAAGGGCACTGCTGAAGTAAAACATCAACATGCAAATACTCTAGTCCAGTACCTATGGCTGAGTTTCAAAACCTCCTCCCTGATGTTCCTTGGACATGAACAAGACTACTAATGAACTGCAAGGAACGGACGAAAGTCTTGACGAACAACCAGAAAGTATTCAGCTGCCCGACGGGCAAATGTGAGGGATCAACTGACTGAACCTTTGAACTCTGACCTCTAGTTTGCTAGCGCTCTGTGGATGTATGGAACATTGCAGACAGCAGTAGACTGTTCATAGTCTGACACAAAATGTATTACTGTGGATGACTGTAATCGGTACTGACTCTTTCTAGTGCAGTGTACGTTAGCTACACAGCCTAGCCTACGTAGATCTACGTACACACGTGTAATTGTTACGTCATAGAAAAACATTACTTTGGTACAACAATATACACCAAGGACTCTACTTGTAGTCTAGCGAAGTCTCAGACATCAGAGTCATTGCTGCGTACATGCGCGTAGCATCTGTATCTGTGCATAGCACTGGTGAGTAGATCTACTGGGGACTAGACCAGAGACACCACAGTCCACACAACACTCTACAGACACGAAACAAAGTGCAAATTTGGAATCAACTAAGTGATCAGTACAGTGGCCTACGCAATGCACGGCCGGTCGAGATCACGACATGATCTGCTGACCCCAAACACGGTCATACTGTGATCAACCAAGCCATGTGCAAGGCCAAGGGCACAGAAATCTCCGCTGCCCAAACCAGTGGAATACAAATGCGACTATGTACCTGGTCTACATGTGGCATACAGTAGGCAAACTCACCTACGTGATCCACAATAGCTGACCTACTTTCTTGGTTTCATGCTACTAGTAGTGCGACCACCACCCACTGCGTTACATCATGCTACACTGTAGTATGTTCTGGTGGGCCTAAACTGAATACTACACCAGAGCACTTCTATCGCCAAAACAGTCTGACAATCTGACAATTCACTCCGTATTATTGGATACTACAGCGTTGCTCAATGAAATCCATTCGCCTCACTCAAGTACGCGCCGGACTTTCCGCAGCCCTAGACCTGCTAACACAGGGCTGGGAAATAATGCAAGGTGCAAACTTGAGTGACGTGACTGGATTTCATTGGGCAGCACTGTACGTGGAGTACTAGATACTTTTGACGTGGCATTCTCTTGAATTCTCTATAAGCATGTTGCCTACTAGTGTGTGTTCAGACAATATCCAGTAGACTGTGGGAGAGAGAAAGAACCACACGTCCATTCAGATGAGAAGTGATCTTTTCAACGCACTAAATGTCACCCATGACACACACACACACACACACCCACCCACCCACCCACACACACACACACACACACACACACACACACACACACACACACACACACACATGACATCACGCACACATACACGCGTACACGCCGGCACGCGTACTTACCTCGATGCGTTTTTGGAGCAGGAGCTGATGGCGTAGTTTGAGCGGCAGCGGCAGCGGCAGGTTGGGTTTGTGTGGCGTCGGTAGCACTAGCTTCTCGTGTCATTTCGCGTCCGTCAGAGGACACGACAACATCATTTGAATGCAATGAGGAATGGAATCTGTACGAAGGCATCTTGGCACAAGTCTTTAGTCTTAGGAAAAGCAAAGAATCAGTAGACAGCATGGATTGTACTACAGTGAATCTCAGAGAGACAGTGGAGGAACGACAGCATCTAATGTATGTGATTGAACAAGCGCAGCGTCTCCGCGGCACTTCATTCCACGCATGCGCCTAGTAGTCGCTCTAACGTGGCATAAGCATTCAGCTTAGACACTGCAACTGGTTGGTTGCTAGGAGGTACGTTGCGGATTGGTTGAATTTGAATAGGTTCGTTCTTTGGATTGTTCTTGACAACACGGTGTTGTGAGAGGCTTGGGGCTTTGCAGAAAATGGATGGCTTGTACGACTAGCCGGAGTGGACTCTCTGCGTAGAGCAGCGACCTGACAAATCACATGATATGAACAGGTCGACATACAAATTGTGCGAAGCCCATCCAGTCTCCGATTATCCTGGCACGTGATTCAAGGGTCTTCCATCCCGCGCTGTGCCTGTGGTGACACCAAGAATCTACATGCATAATCCTCGGAGAGCGCACCACATAATGTCAAGTACTTGAGACGGGTTGGCAACGGGGTTGCACTTTACACATAACAATGTTTTCCTTTTGGGTCAGGCGATAACGAAAACTCGCATCACGTGGTGTAGTGTTCATGAGTGAAGTCTGACTTGTACAGATGTGTCCAGGGTGATTCTAGTGAGCCGCGGTGAAATAATATTAGTCCTCCTTGATCTTCATGGCTCATTCGAGACCATGACAAAATACACCCAATATACAGTTTTCATTCATTTCAACTAGCACGTCTTCTAATGCATTCTGAAAATGTCACAGCTGATGCTTACGCACACACCAATCCCTTGCACATCCGTTTTGAACAGATCCCAGCCCTGGAACGAGCTGATACAGGCACATGGTATGGTATGGTATTGATTTACTTGAATTCGGTATCTCAACAGTACAATGTACAACTTGGGAAGATCCGAATGACATAGATACATAAACATAAAAGTACATTGCAAACTCTGCTCCCCCGTGACCCGTAATCCTAACAATGCCGTACCATTACTCTCGGACGATCAAGAACAATGCACCCAAGAACGAGCAGACCAGAATGTTACCAGGCATATGATACCCGTCTGTACAAGGTGGCTCGGCCATCTACAAATTTCCACATGAGAATAAGAACGTTCTAGTCTACAACCCGCGATATTCATGTTAAAACAAAATGGCGTCACGATTTATTGAAAGTGGTATATTTGGTGGAACGAGTGTTCAAAACCATTTGAACTTCATACTGTTCGTCTTCTTTTTGACATGCTCTCTTTCCATCGTCCTTAGCTTTTGTTTGTTATGAGCTGTTTTGGCTTTCTCCTATACCTCTGGGGGATGCCAAGTGATGGTTTTGATAGGCTGGTGATGGCTGTGAATGAGAGGTTGCCGATCGGCGCCGTCCTCGCTATAGCGATGAAAATACTAGTTACTGCGAACCTGGCAGATATCACAACACGTCGGAGCGTCCAGGAGCAAAGGAATCTTGGGTTTTCACTGGAATCTAGTTCCTCCAGCATCGTGTAGCCCACCGTCGGTGAATGGCCGTCCAGAAAGGTCGAACCTAGTATTCTGCAGCACCTCGCAGTCCTGCGGGGCACACCGTGTACGCCTGCCATGTATTGTACAAATATAACTCAAGCAGTAGTGGACTCTACAGTGATGAGTCTCAGCCTGTATGCTGCAAAAGACACAGGAAATGTGACTGGTGTCTGTACACTCAGTGACTGGACGCCAACACCCCAGTCTTCTCCTGCAGGATCTGTTTGACATTGACATTATGCAGTAGGTTGGCATTGACCTGGTTTGGCAGCTATCGTAATAGTATCTGCCTGGTTGGATGTAGCAGGTTGGCGTTTGCTCGTCGTCCAGTCCGGAATTGTCTTGTAACTCACGGTGGAGTACGCGCAGGGTTTGTGATCATCCCTGTTCACTTCAATATTATCAAACACAACGTTCCCTTTGTCACTCATCTTATCCTAAGTACTGAATTTGCTGACAATATTGCACCACACTTGTCACAACCTACCGCCACTGCTGGCGGTGGCGACTGGTTCGTCAATGGCGGTGACCAGGCTGACTGACTAGCTTCGAGACAGCGGCCTCGTTGTCAACCCCGCGACAGCCTAAAGGTTGATTTTATTGATCCCGCCTCAGCGCCATGTTGACGATGCCCTAGTGACTGTGTGTTATGGATTGCCTTGCCATCAGCGGTCATTGCCGTCCACCTTGGTGCAGCCCTCAACAACTGGCTCAGCCCATGGGAGTCTCAAGTGGACAAAGTTGTTGCCAAAGTAGCTCAGAAGATTGGTGCATCGTGGTGTAGGTGTGCACATAACGGGCACCCTGTAAGAAACCTTAGGGTCTGTTGGGAGTGCCCAAGTAAAATAATAAAATACAATACAAAAAAAATAACTAGGACTTCCCCGCGCCTATTTGTCCAGGCTGCGATACTATGTGACATGCTGTACTGCACATTCTTTTCAGCACTGCAATGCCGGCAGCTGGACCGACTGCAGGGGCCGCGCACATGCAGACCGCCTGTTGCCAGTGCAGCATTCTGGAACGTTCCTTCCTTCTGAGATCCGTGGAATAATAACTTTATTTGCTTCAAAGCAAGTTGCTTACCTTTCTGTTGTGCTCCCAATGTCCTTACAACAATAACCTACACTAGGCTACAGCAATGTTTTATTTTTCTTTCCATTCCCAAACCAATGAATACTACAATGTCGATTCTATTTCTGAATACTTTAGTGTGTGCCCGCGCACGCACGTGTGTGTGTATACCTCACTCGCCACTCGAAGTTCTGTTCCCCATTACTGGAACACTGCCTGTTCTTTCAGGACCTGCCATCATCTGCGGATGGGCATTCAATGATTGTATTGTGTGTGTGTGTGTGTGTGTGTGTGTTTCATTCAGAATCAGATCCGCTATCGTTGCTATAACTTATAAGAGAAAATCTGTGGGTTCACATCCAGTGCATTTGTAGATTTGCGTGCTTTTCTCGCCACGGGCGCATACATGGGACATTGTGTGTGTGTGTATGTGTGTGTGTGCGTCTGTGTGTATGGGGATATTGTCTGTATCGGCTTTTGGTACTAATGTTCAGGTCTGTGCTTGCATGTGTGAACATGAAATTGTTCGGTTCTGTGCATGCTGTTGCTATGTTGTATATTATTGTATGTATGTGTGCATTTCCACGAACAGTGTAGATGAGCGTGGAGAGTGCATTCATCCCTCATCAACCACTTCCCCTTGGGCTTACGAGAGTTTTTCTGCGTACCTCTCATTTTTGTTTGTTTCTCTCTGATACTGTATTGATGCCGGTACCTGTACCTCGATGTGTTCCTCTATCTGCAGTCGCCTTTATCCTTCGGTCAAGTTAACGTTTATTGTGCTCTATTTATCGTGCGAATCAAAATAAACAATAATAACACAAGTCATGCTAGAGTGACGACATGTGCGTGTAGTAGGGTTGATGTGATGGGACGTTATAATTAGGTGGAACAGAACACACATTGGGCAGATTGATTGGGCATCATTGATTGTGCTCAGTCTAAACAGTGAACATAATAATTATCTCCAGTGACAGACTGTAGCGGCTAGCCTCCAATAGGTAGCTGGCACTAGTCGCTACTGCTTGTTTGACAGGTGCCGCCAGAACCCCTGTTGTGTCATGCTATAGATGCATATGCCCTGTTCTGGGGCATACTGAGGTACTTTGATTTTGTTGACTGCATGTAGACAGCATCCAATAGTAGTACTCGTAGACCTTGGCTTTTTGTAGGTCAACCACCATCGCATGGATCGATCGGTGACTATGCACTTGGAGGTTGGAATAGCCCGCGCTGAACAGATCTTGCCATGGCCCAGGGAGCCTACTCGCTTACTCGACTATCCCGGTTTTAGTCATCCAGCATGAGTGGCGCAATTTGTCCATACCATGTTGCGAGCTCACAGTTGTTTGGGCAGGTTTTGAGCTGCACCACGAAACAAAGCGAAATAAGCGCGACTGTAGAGCAAGGAAGCGGCGAGACGGCACTTCCAGGACGAGACAGGCAGTAGAGATGTGTTTTAAAACAGCATGAGCAACCTCTCAAACCCTGCTGGTACTCCACAGTTACAGGAAAATGTCGGACTGGACGACGAGCCAATGCAAACCTGCTACATCCATCCAGGCAGATACCTGCCAAACCAGGCCAATGTCGACCCACTGCATACCGGTATGTCAATGTCAAACAGATCCTGCAGGAGAATACTGGGATATTGGCGTCCAGTGTACAGACACCAGTCACATTTCCTGTGTCTTTTGCAGCGTACAGGATAGACTCATCACTATAGAATCCACTACTTCGTGATTTTTATTTGTAGAATACATGACAGGCGTATTCAGTGTGCCTCGCAGGACTGCGAGATGCTGCAGAAGACCAGGTTCGACCTTTCTGGACGGCCATTCATCGACGGTGGGCTACACGATGCTGGAGGAACTAGATTCCAGTGAAAACCCAAGATTCCTTTGCTCCTGGACGCTCCGACGTGTTGTGATATCTGCCAGGTTCGCAGTAACTAGTATTTTCATCGCTATAGCGAGGACGACGCCGATCGGCAACCTCTCACTCACAGCCATCACCAGCCTATCAAAACCATCACTTGGCATCCCCCAGAGGTATAGGAGAAAGCCAAAACAGCTCACAACAAACAAAAGCTAAGGACGATGGAAAGAGAGCATGTCAAAAAGAAGACGAACAGTATGAAGTTCAAATGGTTTTGAACACTCGTTCCACCAACTACCATATACCACTTTCAATAAATCGTGACGCCATTTTGTTTTAACACGCATACGGTCCACTCTCAACCGGTACTTCCTCGGCACCAGTACAGCTGCACTGTAAGGAGGGATGTCATCGGGTAGTAGGGTACCCGTGCTACCCATCATCGTAAGTATCGTTACAGCAGGAATACAGTTAGCAGTGGACATGTCACTGCTGTGGGTGGACGACAGAAATCAAACCTGGCCACGGCAGTCACAAGGCAAGCGCTGCTGCCAGAGACATGCCAAAGACCATGACCGATCTGAGTGGGATCAGAATGCGCACTTTGGCAAGCCAATAATAAAGACCATGACCGATCTGAGTCAGTGAGTGGGCTCAGCGCACTGTGGACAAGATAGAGCTCCGGAGGGATCTCTCAGATCACCTGAGCTGGTTTTGCTCACGGCTGCAATGCACAGGGTTGTGAAACCAGGACAGAAGCGGGAAAGTGCAGCATCATGACTTTACACATCGTTATGCTGGAGATTGGCGCACCCACCGGGCTAGCATACAGCAGCCAAACGTGCGACCATACTCGCATGTCTCGTCCTTGTACCGCACCAGTCACCAGTCACAGACCGTGGCCGATTATGGCTCTTCGAGGGGAAACTAGGGGTTACACCCTACTGAAAAAGACCTCACCCCGTGTTTCAAAGTACGGGCGCGGGCTCGTACATTCAGAGCGCGCTCGAAAAACATAATTTCGATTCCGAAACAATTTCTTTAGCTGTCACTCAGACATGGCGAGACGCCGCATGTCGGCTGAAGAAGTGATCCAGTCCATCATCATGATCATGGACTCGGACAGTGATGACTGGAGCTGCGATAGTGAAGGAGATGACTCAGATGCGGACATAGCCGTCCGCGACCGTGACGGAACAAATTTCGCCGACGTGTCCGCCGTGGTGGATGTCGTACCTACTGCCGTGGTCGCATTGGACGGCCCTGAGGATATCGGAGATGTCGATGTCGAGCTTGAGCAGGGCGCAGCAGCACAAGTTACGCCAGCGCAGGCCGCAGACACGAACGCTGATCATGGGGAAAGATTTATTGATGCAAAAACTTGTGTACTAGGTCGGACCAAATAATCCGCGATATTCATGTTAAAGGGGAACTCCACGAAAAAATGAAAATTTGATAGCCTGTAGAGTTTCGGGCGCTGAGTCGAATGGTCTTGGTCCGAAGTCTCTACGAGAAAGCGTTCTTGAGATATTTCAATTTTAGCCACGCCCCATACCAATGTATGTGTGACGTCATTGTGGCAATGTGCGAAAATATTTGGTTTTTGAATCTCACTTTCTTCAGGACGAAAGTCACTTCAGAAAGTAGTTTGCCAAGTCGCCTGAGCCGCTGCAATGCCAAATTGTTGTGTTGTTGATTGTGCCAGTATCACATCATCCTCCTGGGGTTAGTTTTCTCAAATTCCCAAAGGATGGAGACCTGGCAAAGCGCCGAGATGTTGCAATGCGTCGTGAAAATTTCAAGCCTATTTTCGCAGCACGAGCTATGTTTGCTCGCTGCATTTATGATCCAGAGGGACTTGAGAGCTGAGTTTTGACGAGTACGCCATCCAGGAAAGCCCTCATCAGTGTACCAGTGCCCTCCGAACCGTGAGCCTCCAGCAAAGCGAACTCAACAAGCTGCAACTGAGAAAGCAGGGCGAGATACGTCCCATCAGGATCAGAAGAGTACATCACCCCATCAACTCCGACTGCAGCTAGCTGATGAACGATATTACCCCAGTAACTTTGCGCATACCAGTACTCAAACTGTGCACATCTGTCATCAACTGGGACGCAAACAGACAGACCCCCAGCAAGTACGAAGGTTACAGAACTGTTTGCTTGCGATGTGCAGGCAGCATGCACGACGAACTAGAACTGTCTCACCAATCCTGCCAAACTGAACCAGTGTAAGTTGATTGCGTGGATATGTCTCTATTTATAACAGCTACCCTACTTCTAGGCATGGTTGCATGAATACCATATCACTCAGAGCAGTTGTTAGAAGTCTGGACAGCCTTGGAATAGTGCAAGTAAAGTGAAACAAAAATATATTACACTCCGAGTTCCACGCTTGCGGGATCACCAGGCCAAAAAAAATCTAATTTCGAACAAGGAATGGGTTCTGGTTGTATGCGAAAGAAAAGTAAGTGAAGACATATTGTGCAAGGAATACAGTGGGAACTACACATATTATACACATGCACTCACACCTTCACCCACATGCGCGCGCGTGCGTGTGCGTGCACACACACAAACACAACAACACACACACATACGCACCCACATACTCAAACTCACTCGCATGCACGCTAGCCTAAGGATAGTACATATGCTGTAGTAGTGGTATACTTAGTGAAATGACTATGTGTACATCTAATGACGCCGCCACTCCACGCCAGAAGACAACAAACATCTGCTGAACATTTTTGCTCCCGTCTCTTATGGGCAACACAGGGAATGAAACGAACAATGCAATTGAGAACAAGAGTCGTCCTGTACGGTGAAGTTTCCATTTTCTCATACAGCAGTATATTGTCTAAGCAAGTGTGTTTTCTCCACATTCTTTTTGCCATGCAGGTATATCACAGTGTCATGCCAAACTACATTCTCAAACGCATTCGTTTCTCAATTCTGGGGATGGTTGGACACGCACATCTCGCAGCTCTTGACGACGTCAATGTCAACCGTCGCCACAGCACAACCAAAAAGACCGCGATAGGAAGGTATAAAGTCCAGTTCTCAAAGCATAAAGAAGACTGTGGCCAAATAGAAAATTATACGACAGAAAGAGCTATGAGTATGTTGACAAGCTCATGTGTGAGGTGGTAGCGGTTGCAAATGGCAACCTCCATGTTCCTGCCTTGGAGAAGCGTGTTTCCCTGCCAAATTCCAGGTGGAAGCCTCCTGAGAAGGCTGAGGTGGTGCAGGATTTGGATATCTTTGCCTGATGGTATTCACAACGCAGGCTGGAAGACGACAACGAACGTGCTTGCCCAATTTGCCGTGTACATAGTGTGTACTGCCTGTGTGCCGCATAGCGTAGAGATCTACACAAACACAGAATGTCATATGGAATGTGTATGATGAGTGCTTGTACACATACCACATTGCTGTACCGTAATAATTTTTATAGTCAAATACTCATTTACTCTACATATGCGCTGTATTGCACCTACCGGTACCTACCTGCACTTTCAGTGCGCGCGCCATACTAATTTAGTGTCCACTGGTACAAAGATGGAGGGTCTTGTAGAATTTACCATAATTGCTGATTTCAAATTGAATTCCAATGATCTGGGGGATGAATACTGATTAGGACGCGTTCGATTACCTACTAGTACAGAGATGTCTTGGTCAGAAAGTACAGATTTCTTACTCTCCTGCCAGAATTTGTGCATTATTTTGGTGTACGCTTTCTTGACCCCACGCTTGTACGTTGCATGCCATGGTATACTAGAAAACGAGTTTATTGACAAAGTCTATCGCTTGAAACGATAAAGTATGGGTTCGGGTGTGATCAAATGCACCCATGGTGCTCATAAACTGTGTGCAGTGCTCTCTTCACCAACAGAACACTACCTACCATACTTTGTAGATCTTGTACCAATCCAAGGGAAAATGACAAAGACAAATGTGAGTCATGCATGAAAACTTGTGATAGCACGGTCTATAGTACAGAACAACGTTGTTCGTGCTATGCCTGACAACAATAATTAGTTACACATAAAACATTACGCGCATCGATCCTCACAAGATAAGTCAAGACATACTCGGAGCAAAGAGAAATTTGTTTGTGTCATGCATGAAACTTGTGATAACTACCTGTCTTTCTTGTGCGACGCCTACTGTAGTGCGCCTGACAACAATAAATTTCCCCCACAAAATAAGAATAAGTGTATCATGCTGATACGCGATCCTCACAAGACAAGTCAAGGCAAACTAATTGAGGCTTACCTAATGTCAGACTCTTCTGTCACTGGCATTGGCGGCTTCTGCATGTCGAGATAACCTCGAAGAGCAGTGATGAGCACAGCCTAATGCAAGGATACGATCTCGTAATCTGCGAGGTCCGCTACGCAAGAAACCTTGGGCCGTCTTGTCGACAGCGACGGCAGCATCCTACCAGCAAAATCATTCCCGCGGGCTGGGCATGGCTATACACTTTTGTCCACGCTCGCACCAGTCGGAGTCCCAAACGAATCGAGATTCTGGTGGCCAAGCTACTCGTCTTCTGTCGGACGCAGCTGCTGACGCATCTTCTTCCTCCACATTTGTTACACGCGATGGCAGCTCCTCAGCAGAGTATCTGGGCTCCCTGCCCCAACCATACGCGGCGGTGGGCTGTTGGTCGTCCTCACTGGCCTCAGCATCGCTGCCTTCATTGCTGGGGACAGAGGATTGTTCGGAATCGCCCATCTTCCCTTGAAATACCAACTAAAATTAGTGCTTGTAGACTGGCGAAGAGAAACGACTTTGCCACAATGACGTAGGCAGCCCGTGATGATGTAACCAAATGGCCGCATGACGTCAGGGCGCGGCCCCCGTTTTTGCAATTTCAAAGTGAAATATCTCAAGAACGCTTTGTCGTAGAGACTTCGGACCAAGACCATTCGACTCAGCGCCCGAAACTCTACAGGCTATCAAAGTTTCATTTTTTCGTGGAGTTCCCCTTTAAAACAAAATGGCGTCACGATTTATTGAAAGTGGTATAGTTGGTGGTACGAGTGTTCAAAACCATTTGAACTTCATACTGTTCGTCTTCTTTTTGACATGCTCTCTTTCCATCGTCCTTAGCTTTTGTTTGTTGTGAGCTGTTTTGGCTTTCTCCTATACCTCTGGGGGATGCCAAGTGATGGTTTTGAGAGGCTGGTGATGGCTGTGAGCGATAGTTTGCCGATCGGCGTCGTCTTCGCTATAGCGATGAAAATACTAGTTACTGCGCACCTGGCAGATATCACAACACGTCGGAGCGTCCAGGAGCAAAGGAATCTTGGGTTTTCACTGGAATCTAGTTCCTCCAGCATCGTGTAGCCCACCGTCGGTGAATGGCGGTCCAGAAAGGTCGAACCTGGTCTTCTGCAGCATCTCGCACTCCTGCGAGGCACACTGAATGCGCCTGTCATGTATTCTACAAATAGAAATCACGAAGTAGTGGACTTTACAGTGATAAGTCTATCCTGTATGCTACAAAGCCCCAAATCAACCTATTATTGGAGCTGTGACGCTACGATCGGCACACATGGATTTCCGGCCCTCATGACGTGCACCCATTTCCAACTCATTATGCAATGCATACCCTTCACAAACAATGAACCCCATAGCCAGGATGGTCGTCTGATAAAGGTAAAGCCATTATTTGATTTACTTGTGGGCCGCTTCAAGCACGTGTACATACCTAAACACCAGATGTATGTGTTGATGAAGTACTGGTTCTGTTCTAGTGGTGTACTGGGGACCTGGGTATCCGCTGGTTTTGTTCTAGTGGTGTACTGGGGACCTGGGTATCCGCTGGTTTTGTTCTAGTGGTGTACTGGGTACCTGGGTATCCGCTGGTTTTGTTCTAGTGGTGTACTGGGTACCTGGGTATCCGCTGGTTTTGTTCTAGTGGTGTACTGGGTACCTGGGTATCCGCTCGTTTATCTCAGGTACCGTTAGTAAAATGATACCCGTTTGGATTCCGATGATCCAGTCAGTACGGAACAACACTGCTGGGATCGCGCATTCCAGGCGGGAGTCAAATATTTACAACTCCACGCTGGATGTCTGCATTGTTGTTGAATTTTCGCATCTAGTAGATCTACCTCTCCAACTAACAGACACAAATCAATTTGCGAATCACCATGTGATATCAAAATGCAAACTGTTTTGGTGAGATCTCAGTGCCCCGTGGCACAACCCTGGTAACAGATACAAGCTCAGAATTTCTCTTGTTGATTAGAAGGTGTTCTTTATTGATTTGTCCCTGTTCTCGGGAGTTGTGTGATTATAAGAAAGTGTTTAGTGAAGCACACCACTTGACTAAGAAAAGGTTTACAAAGTGAGTCGTCCATGTAAGAAAAAGAGTAGTATCATCATGTTTCCGGAGGTGACACAGTGGGTTCCCAAACGGGTAAAGCACAAACGAATGGTGTGCTGCGAGTTAGTGCAGTCAAGCAGCAACATTCTCCCCCTGGTAACAAACCGTGGAAGAGTTAACATAAACATGTGAACAGGAACTGAAGGGAAGCGAAGAAGACTATATTCAAACCTAGCAACTATCGCGTTATCCGAGTAGAAACAAAGGTGGATGGTCCATGGACGGACAAGACGAGAAAAAAACAAGAAAAAGAGAAAAAACAGTGCAGCTAGCTGCAGCGCAGAAGTGCGGGAGGCATGAGAGCTCTACAACCGCACGTCCAGTACACAAAATTTCATGGCGAATCGACGAAAAACGACACCAGATGCGGTCTTTACGTCGTCGACACGGACGACACCATCGCGGCCCGGATGGACGGCTGAAATGACACCTTTGGTCCAGGAACCTCGTAGTGCGTCATACTCCGCGGGGATGACAATGTCGTTTACGACGAGCTGCTTCGCTTGGCGGTTTAACTTTGTGCGGCGAGCGAGAGTCGGTAGGTACAGCCGTCCCTCTCTAATCCGGCACTTGTTTATCCAGCACCCTTGCAAACCAGCACACTTTCTGGCAAAACGGATTTTCCAGTTCCTTTTCCACGCTTTAATCCGGCACTTGAATTCCGCCTCCAGCAGCAATTTTCTGCAACAAATCACTCAAACTGTACATATTTCGATTTTCTAATCCAGCAACTGCACATCGCATACTGTCAAGGAGCATTGTAACATACACAACACATGTAACATACACTTGGGATTATCCTATGCCAGCGCATAGGATATTCCCAAGTGTATGTTATAGACATGCATTCCACAAAGTACTTGGATTGACACAGAAAATCCCTACGTTTTGACGTTCGACACAAACATGTATGGTAATAGGTGGGCCGGGTTGGAGGGCAGGATTTGATAATCCAGCCCCCCTTGTTTATCCAGAAAAAAATGACGTTGCAAAAGGTGCCGGATTGGAGAAGGCCCACCTTTACTGCCGAACCCAACGGCGCCACAACATACCCGCAAGGGCTTGCGTAACGTACCATTGGCGCCGCAGCGAGACATCTGCCTGCGTGATTCCTTGAAGTATGGCACATGAGGAGCCGATCAGGAAATGGTTTGGAGTCAAGGTCTCGTTGTCGTTGTCATCCGGGGTGACAAGTGTGAGAGGTCGACTGTTCACGAGTGCCTCTGCTTCTGCCAGTGCGGTCAGGAGGGTCTCCTCCTCGGGGTGGCGCTCTTTAAGGATGGCGCGAAGTGCGGTCTTGATGGACCCACCGAGCCTCTCCCACGCTCCGCCCATGTGGGGTGCCGCAGCTCGTTCACTACGCAATCCTGTCATTGATGTAGTGACCAGACATGGTGTTGCTGTATGAGCAGCCTAGTGAAGGCGTGTTTCGGCGGGAGCAGTACAGGTTGGCGCAGGTTCTTGTTTCCAACCGTTGCGTTCCGTACGCGACTGTCAGAGCACATGATGCCATAGACGTAGATGAAGATTGTCATCTGGACCAGGCGCCTGTCCTTGTCCACTGCCTTGCCATTGCGGAGCGTAGCGAGTTCTTCGGGGAAGCCTTTCGCTTGTGCAGCTTTCCACCAAAGATTATCCGCGGCTCGCTGCTCTGGGACTGTCATTGACGGCTTGGCAGCGTCTCTTTCTCCGTGTCGCAGGTGGCGAGTGAAGTGTAGCACCCAGGCGGTTGCTTTTACCAGGCGATACCAGCTTGAGAAGCGCTCGATCTCTGGTTGGGTGGCTCTGAACTGTGTCCGGCTGCTGCGTTGTCGCCACTGAACGCACGCTTCAGCTCGGATCATCCAGGTCCGGCGTACAAGTCTCCTCGGCAGGCCAGTCTACTTTGCCTTGCCTCAGATAGTCCGGGTCGCCAGACCAGCGATCGTCTGGCTGCAAGCGCTGGACAGAGATACCTCTAGAGAGATCGTTGTCTGGGTTCTCTCTTGTTGGTACCCATTGCCACTGGTCTACTTCAGTTGTGTCCGTTATTTCCGCGATCCACCGGGCCACAAATGGTTTTTATTGCCGTGCGTCCGAGCGTATCTACAGCAACACCGTTCTAGAGTCCGTCTAGAATATGACCCGTGGAATTGTGATACGCAGCTGCTCCCGGACAGTACAGGATCGTCGCCAGGCCAGGACCGCGGCCTGGAGTTACAGACGAGGTATCGAGGCCGGTTTCAGTGAATCGACGAGTGCTGTCGCTGCGACTAGGGACACTGCCAGCTGAGTACCGTGATTCGCTACTTTAAAGAACGCAGCGGCGCCGTATGCTTTCTCGCTTGCTTCGGCGAACACGTGCAGCTGGATGTCGGTAGCAACTGTAATCAACGGTGTGTAGCACCGTGGCACTTCTACGGTGACCACCTGGTCTAGCTCTGCAGCCTAATCTGTCCATCTCAGTGCAAGGGATGCAGGGAGTTCATCATCCCAGCCTATGCCAGCTCTCCACATATCTTGGAGAAGCATGCGTACGATGATGGTGTGGCAAGACACCAGGCTGAGTGGATCATAGACCGACATTGTGGGTCGCAGGACGCTTCGCTTGGTGACTGGTGCCTTTGGATCTGGCTTAGTGCCGCAGGAGAAGCCAAGAGTGTCCTTCGCAGTGTCCCATCGGAGGCCCGGGGTCTTCTCAATGGGGAGGCTGTGGTTGTTGACGTTCACAATTCCTGGTGACCTCAGATCTGATGGAAGGCTCTCGAGGACCGTCGGAGAGTTGCTCACCCAGTTACGGATCACAAACCCTCCCCTCGTGGACGTCCATCACCTTGCGGGTTAGTGCTACGGCTTCCTCGGTTGTTGGAGTGCTGTGGAAGTAGTCGTGGACATAGTGGTACTTCTCTATGGCTGTCACGGTTCGAGCCTCTACGGAAGCCAAGTCGTGCGCGTTGATGTTCTTCCCAAACTGGGCGGAGGTTGGTGAGCAGACTGCACCGAATATCATGGCGTCCATCTGGTACACGTAAGCTGGTCTCCTTGCATCCATGTCGCACCAGTGGAAGCGTTGTGCATGACGGTCTTCGGGACGCATCTTCACCTGGTGGAACATCTCCTTGATGTCTGCACCAAAGACGACTTCATACAGTCGGAAGTTGTACAGAACTTGTGTGATCGGCGTCAGGAGGTCGGGGCCGGTGAGGAGGAAGTCGTTTAGAGACTTTCCGTGCGACTTTGCCGCATCGTCAAACACCAGTTGCACCTTTCCTTTCTTTTTGTTGTACACAGCAAAGTGTGGCAGGTATCATGTCAGCTCTGGCTGGTGGGTGGTCTCCTCAGGTGACAGCTTCCGGGCATACCCCTGTTCCAAATAGCTGTAGATCTTGCTCTGGTAGCCTTGTGCAAGTGTGCCATCCTTCCGCAGGCGTCTCTCCAGCTGCGCTGGCCAGCCGTTGCCTTGCTCCGTGGAAGGGTGATGTCGTCCTCATGCCAGAGTAGCCCCGTTGGCCAGCGGCGTCCGGTGCGTTTGTTGTTTTGTTTGTTTGTATTTATTTTGATTCGCAAGTTCAAACG